TTAAGTCAGTGCAATTCACCATCTTAGACTACATAACCACTTACCGATGGGATTGTAGTTGCTTTACTACTTGCTGGGTAAAAATAGTAAAAAAAAATTTACCCTGTAAAAGTGTACATTTAGATATAATTTTTCTAACCAACCATAAAAATATGATAAGAATATGTATATAAGTATAAAGGTTGCCTCACACGGGACAGTAATAATATAATATTATATCTTCCATTATCTACGCATGAAAACTTTTAAGAACTCTGAATCCCGAGCCACATTGAAATGCATGGGGATCGTTTTGTAATTTCACGTCATTATCGAAAAAAAATGGTACGTATTTCAGGTGGCGGTTTGCAAAACACGATTCCACAAAAATTAACTCAATAGAAAATAATTGCAAAGTTGCTTCTAAAAATACTTAAATTTTCAACGTCAATTTTTTTTACGTGGTAGAGCCATGCTGCAGCTATATTAGTAGTAGGTATAGTTGTAGCACGAATGGGTCGGCTCGACTGGGGAAGGGGCACGCTCTCACGGAATAACATGTAAAATAGCAGTTTAACCCTGCTGTGTTTCGCATGGTGAGTGTAAAGAACCGGAGAACCTTTTTACTGGAAACGAGGCATTACATCTTAGTCCTCACGGGTGACAACGTATCTACATTTTGATACGTAATCGAGAATAGATGTAGATGTGTATGGGCCGTAGCAACCACTTACCATCAGGTGGACTGTGTGCTCGTTTGTCACACTTATTCTATTTAAAAAAAACTTTCTGAGATTTCAGTAAAATAATGTTAAGCACTCGTACAATTATGTCTCATGTTAATAAAGCTATTGGGCTATTTTGATTTGTAATAAAGTGATTTTACTTTATAGGTTAAATAATTTATTTACCTTTCTATATCAAGAACCGTTTTTCTGTCACTCCTATTGAATTTGACAGTGCTTGCTGAAATTTAGCATCTTTAGATGGATCAGAATCGCGCGCTGATCCGGCTGTTAGATATTGCAAAAATAATCGAAAATATTTATTTTTACTTTCATGCCGAAGACTACCTTGTTTTATTTTATTACGGTCAAATAATATTTATTAGGTTATAAAGCAAGTATTTTTGTTAATGTTTTGTATGTAAATGTAAATCTTTTCATTATTTTGTTATTCTATTGTTTACAGTTATTATCACGTCTTAGCTTTACACCAAGAATTACATTAGAAATTCTTGATGGGATGCGATGTAACGCGCATACTTTATTTTCATCAAGAACTGTAATATATATATTTGTTTTTTTTCCAGTAGAGTTTCAACACAATTTTAAAAAAGTTCAATGAATTAAAAAAATGCCGATAATTATATAATTTCAAGTCAGTTTTTTACATTTAAAGATCAGTTATAAAGAGCCAAAGTTCTTATTTTCATTTTGATTAATTAAATTCGAGACTAAAATAAATGTGAAAGGGCTTTTATCTGCAATAATAATTTTCATCTAAAATAACATAGACTTATAAAAGTCATATACACGGTCAATCATACTGAAGATTATCAATTGTACTACAACATATTTAAAAGACTTTCCAGTATAATGACCCGAATATCATCATTAATGTTTGACTGGCACACTTAAAAGTTTTATCACATGGCTAAATGATTGACTGTTATATTATGATAAGGTCATGCTTTTCTATAAAAGTTGCAAGAAATTGTAAATCACGGACCTATTGGTTTGTTTTACTTTTCACTTAATTAGTGAACAACAAGATGGACTGATCTCAAAGTTTACTTTCTTGTGTAAAAAGTGCTATTTAGAATTTTATGCGAATGATAATTAAAGTTTCTACGTAAATAAGTGTAACATAGCGGGTATTATATTCAATGGTAGCGGCCATCCATATTTGCAAAGCCAGCATCATTTTCTGTACAGAAACCGGCAAAGTGTTGGCTCAAGGCTCTATAAACAAAGCAGCTGATAAAATGTTACACTCATAACTGTTAACAAAAACTGTTTCTGCAAATGGTCTTATAGATAATAATAACTATTTCGCCGTATTAGGTGCAGGAGGTATTATTAGAAGGAGAAGAGGTAAAATTTTGTTTTAGAGATGCGCAATCAATATTGTTTTGTCTGCAATTGAGCATAAAATAAAAAATAACTTCAACCAAAGAGCATAACTGGCATTATACTCAGGCCCATCAATTGGTATGGTAAAAAATAATTTTACCAGGTTTGAAAAAGTCTATCAAAATTAAAAAAAAAAACATAAATATTAAAATCAAAAAATGTATATATGTATGTCTATACACACATATAATGATTTATGGCCGCTTAGTAACTGACGGTGACTCAGTATAACATCCTACAGTCACGCCGAAACTAAGAAGAGAGAATCACTGTAGAAAAGGTAATAATTTATTGCGGAAATTTTGTGATAAAATTAAAACAATTACAAACTTATCCAAGTTAATCTAACTTAGTCTAACTTATCCTTAATCGTTACAAAAAAAAAAACAAATAATAAAATAGTGTGATGGCGTCAGTTTTTAAGAAGATATAACAAAAATAAACCAGAAAATAAATTTCAATAAAGTTCAGTATTTAATTGATTATATACCGCTGACACTTAATCACGCTTTTCGAAACCACGCCAGTTGTAAACGATACTTGTGTGAAAAGACAAAATCTTCTTTTCAAATTTCCGCCGAGTTGTAAGTAGAAGGCCAAATAGGTCACGTCAATTTTAATTAAATATATTTTATATGAAGTGATCTTGACTACGTTTCATCAATTAACCATTGGTAAAAATTAAAACAGGAATTTTACGATTTTGTTTACAAAAAACATTATTAGTTGAACCTTGCAGCTTGTTCATTATTTTTATTATAAATACTTATAAATGTATATATTATTAATAAATAGTTCCCATAATATTTTGGATTATTTTTTATTTTGCCCTATCTCCAATGTTCTACGCTCTATAGAAAATGTGGCGTATGACATGACTGACAATCTTTCGAACGTTTTATCTAGGTACAAAGATGTTTTACGTTTTCGTCGCCTCCACATGATAATTTTGCAGCATAAGGTACCCTTCTATATCTGAAACGAATATAAATATTGCTACAAAGTAATAGGCTATACAAGTTCCTCTACTGGGCAAAGGACTCTTTTTTTTATTTCTGAGAGGGTTTTAGGGCAAGGAAATGCCCGCCGTGCTTCCCCAATGCGTGTTGACGAAAATTGCAATTACAAATTTCATTCGTGCTGTCGAGGATCAAACCCGGAAAAATTTACAACGAACGCTTTGACCCAGGTCTATTAATGCGATACAAATAAATACGATTTAACATATATAATAAAAAACTCTTACGTACTTGAAACTTGAACACTTGATAGCTCGTGACGGCTACCGGACAAAGCTACAGCACAATGTAATTAAAGATGCGTAACCGCGACATAATTCTCAATGATGCGCAAGCATAACAGGCAGTATGTCACTTATATAATTGTCATCTCTGCAGTCTATTAATCTTTGCACTTTTATAAGTAATACAGAACGTAGTTGCTAGACGGTGTTGACATCGGCTAAAATCTCTGCGATCGCCGTTTCCTCAAGGTCATTCAGGCTAGTTAAAGCCTTAACGTACGTAATAAAGAAGTAAACAGAAGTTACAAGCTATATACGTTATACTGCTCCCTTTTCTAAAAGGCGCTAATGCCTCTTGTCATTTCTTAAAAGTTATGAAGCGATAAGTCTGCAGCCTTGCTCTAGTGCATATTGGTGGATTTCACATGTTGTAGCAATAAAATTGTTAACCTAACCTTACTTACTAAACAAAATAAAATTTAAAAAATTAATTGATTAATTTTAATTGACCTATCTAAACTTAAGAAAATAAGAATAAATATACATACAAGCCTTACTTAATCAATAAACAAAAAACTGGAGTTATTATTCTTTATATAAAAAACATTATATATCTATACAAATAAATAAAATGGTAATGTTTGTTTATAATATAAAAATAAAAACTTTTTACAAAATGCATATGAAAGTATATACGGTATATATAATAAAACCATTTTTTTAAATTTTTGTCTCTTGTGTTTATCTATTTGTTCCGGCTAATCTCGAAAACGGTAAGACAGATTTTGACGGGACTTGCACTGGCAGATAGCTGATGTCATAAGAATTAACTTAGGGTGCCTACTTACATTTAAGAAAAATAATTAAGGTTTCACTTAATTGTTTCTGTTACTTGTACTTACAAAACAACCATCTTTTATAAATGTAAAACAAATCAGAGTTAATGTAATCACTATCTTTAGAAGCGATTAACCGAGAACAAAGACTACGTCACGGCTTGCTCGAATTTTTTTTCCTAGATGTGTAAGGTAAAACTCTAATTGTCCATTTTTCCATCGCTAGCCAATCTATTGTAATTTGAAGTACAAAGTCATAATACTTTAAGTAATTTGAGCAAAAGGTAGGCGTATCAGTGAACACGTATTCAAAGTATCTCTGTCGATTTTATTTATAAAGTGGTGCAAAAGTTGTTTATCTTGTTTAAACTCTATACAAAGATATCTATAGCACTAGATCTAGTGACTACGCGATATATATTAACAAAAACTTTAAACTACAAATACAATGTCCAAAAATTAGATAAAGAAGTGCTTATAATATTTTTTTATCCAAGTGCTAATGTGGGGTATCTGTGAATCTTGCCATCGTCGCGGTCGTCGTTTACCATCGCTGTATCAATAACTACTTGCTATTACTGACCGGCCAACTGCAGATAGCGGCCGTAAATTTCAAACACTACGTTACGAAAGCGTTTGGTGAAATGGTGCTAGCGTCGTGTCGGCCTTAAAATTAACTGATCGACGATCGAGTCCAGACCCTGTAACTGCGTTATAATAATATACACATATATTTACATACTTTTTTCTTTCTTTTTCATACATAGTTTGGAAGTTTGTTAAAATTATAACTCGATTTACGTGGAAATGTCCACCAAATTGAAAGAAGATTATTGCGGAGCATGCGGTAGCTCACCACCATCACCTAGTAAAAGATTAAAAATAAAATGTGCTTACTGTAAACAAGACTATCACATTCAATGTGTGAACATAAAAATCGAAACATACAAGGATCTAAGCAGAGTTGCAAGAACCTCATGGAAATGTTCCACTACAAGAAACTGTATAAACGTTACCACTCGCCGCAAAGGGGACGACACTAATACCCCGGTGTCAGCTCGTCGTCCTACGACGCTTGATGACTCCACTATGTCGATAGACAAAATGACCCATGTAGATACATCTAGCTCTGGTAGCCGTATTCAAGAGCCTGTAACCATCACTGGCAACCTTACAGTTAATAACAAAGCCGAACTTCTTGACTCAAAATTGAAAAGTTTTAGGGAGACTTTCTTCTCTGACATGAAGTCATTCATCAGAAGTGAAATAAATGCTGCTATTGAAAAAACAAAACAAGAATTCACTGAAACGACAGATTTTTTGCAAGATATAAAAGCTTCCCTATCTGTTGTTGAAACCCACATCAGCGAGCTAGAGAAAGAAAATTGCAATTATCTGAAAAATATCACGTCTTTGCAGAATCGCTTGGAGTCTATGGAAAAAGTTTCGCGAAGCCGCAATGTTGAAATACAGGCCGTCCCTGAAAAACGTAATGAAAACGTACTTGCAATAATAGAAAACCTTTATAAGACCGTAAGCTTACAAATCAATGACGATGAAATCAGCGCGTGTCGTAGAGTTGCTAAGTTACCATCTACTTCTGCAAGCCGTCCACGCAATATTCTAGTGCGCCTTCCAACTATTCGTCACAGCGACAATTTAATTTCAGCAGTGAAACGTTTTAACAAAGCCAACCCAAAGGATCGGATTAGTTCAGTGCATCTTGGTGTAGCTAGGGAAAGATCCTTGATATACGTAACCGAGCACCTGTCACCCGAGTGCAAGAAACTCCACTCGGCTACTCGAATAACACTACGGGATCAATACAAATACATATGGGTTAAATATGGCAATGTATACATCAGAAAAGATGATCGGTTATACATGTAATGAATAAGGATTTCCTATCGAAGTTGTTATCCCAAATTGTGTGTACATATTTCTTTTTAAGCTTTTATTTTATTTTCCCTTTAATTTCATGTTAAGTTACTATCAGAATGTAAACCACATGCGCTCTAACACTTCCGAGTGTTATTTAGGATTATTAAATAACGACTATGATATAATATATTTATCTGAAACTAACCTTAATGCTGGTGTGTGTAATGAGGCTTTTTTTGATGAACGTTACCACGTCTATCGTAGAGATAGAAGCGAGTGTGTATACACTAACCAAAAAAGTGAGGGAGGAGGTATTATCCTTGCTGTAAAAAAATGTTTTAATGTAATGCGTCGCGAATCCTGGGACAGTGACTATGAGGATCTTTGGATATCTATACTCCCTAATAACAAATACGCGATGGCGATAAACCTTTGTGTTTGTTATTTGCCTCCTTACTTAAATCTTAATGAGTTTAAAAGATTTATGGGTCATGTTAAAAGTGTTGTTATAAATAATGATGAACTTGGGTATTTCTGTATCGTAGGCGATTTTAATATCCCTGACATTGACTGGAATGTTTTAAGAGACAAAAATGATCACTACTGCTTGGGGTTAAGTAAAAAAGCTTGCTCTTTACTTAATATGATGGCTCTATATTGCTTGAAACAGATTAATTTCCTAAAAAAACTGTAAAGACCGGACGCTCGACTTAATTTTGGCAAATTTCGATGATGTTCATGTGACTGCGGCACTCCCTATAATCAAACCCGATAGACATCACCCTTGCTTGAACATATCTATTGGACACCAGCAAGCATTTAAGCCCATCAGGCAGAAACCAGGCACGTTGAAACCAAATTTTCATAAATGCAACTTTATAAAGATAAAAAATCATTTACTTAATACAATTTGGCAACATCTTTTGGCCAAGGCGAATGTAGATGATGTAGTTGAAATATTTTACCATGAATTAAACAAAGCTATCCTTCTTTATACACCTCTGCAGAAAAGTCCATCACATAAATATCCATACCGGTACAGTCCTTATTTGATTCGTTGCATTAAAGAGAACTTAAGATTTTATAAACTGTATAAGAAATTTGGCAATCCAAAAGATTACGACACGTTTAATTTATTGAGAAAAAGAAGTAAAAAATTAATAGAAGTGTGTTATAAAAACTTACTACAGAATGTGGAAAGCGGTTTGAATGGTAATATGAAAGCGTTCTTGAAATTTGTCAAAAGAAAACGAGTAAGTGGAAATATACCTGAATCCATGACTTATGGATCACACACCGCAAACAAACCAAATGACATCTGCGAACTCTTCTCTACATATTTTTCATCTGTGTACGACAAACCGGATAGCAATAAATCTGTGTCGTTTACCATTCCATCAAAACATCATCTTATTTTATCTGATGTACGTATTTCAACTGAGTTAGTGCGTCAAACTTGTTGTAAATTGGATGCTTCAAAGGCCCCTGGACCGGATGGAATTCCTGCAATATTTGTGAAGACTTGGGCCAAAGAGCTTAGTTTGCAATTGTCTATTATTTTCAATAAGTCACGAATTACGGGTACTTTCCCGAAAATTTGGAAAAATGCGTTTGTAATACCCATTTACAAATCCGGTGATAAAACAATATGTAGTAATTATAGACCCATAAGCATACTTTCCTGCATGGCTAAGGTTTTTGAAACTTTAATATATTCTCACATATACAGTCACGTTAAGCAAAAAATTTCATGTATGCAGCATGGCTTCGTATCTAGTCGGTCTACGATAAGCAATCTACTTATTTATAGAAATCACATCAGCTCGGCTATTGCTAATCGCCGTCAGGTGGACTCAATTTACACTGATTTCTCCAAAGTATTTGACAAGGTCAATCACGAGATACTGTGTGCAAAATTAGAGGCCTATGGTATTCATGGTAATTTACTTCGTTGAGTTAGATCCTACATATCCAGGAGGAGCCAGACTGTTGCAGTTAAAGGTTATAACTCTGCTCCAGCCAAAGTCTCGGATTAGGGGCGACTAAATCTAGTCCAGTTTAATCCTCAGAAGACACAAGTTTGCGCGTTTACCACTAAAAAGAACCCCTTTGTCGTATCTCCTCAGTTTCAAGGCACTCCCCTTCTTGCCTCAGCCAGTATCGGTATCCTCGGAGTCGACATATCGAGTGACGTGCAGTTTCGTGGTCACTTGGAAGGGAAGGCCAAATTGGCCTCTAAAAAGCTTGGCGTGCTCAGCAGAGCGGGACACCGCCTGCAACTTTACAAGGCGCAAGTTCGGCCTCACATAGAATACTGTTCCCATCTCTGGGCAGGGGCTCCCCAGTGCCAGCTCCTTCCACTTGACCGCATCCAACGCAGAGCGGCTCGAATCGTCGACGACCAAGCCCTTTCCGATCGGCTCGATTCATTGGCACTGCGAAGAGATGTTGCATCCCTTTGCATTTTCTTTCGCATCTACCATGGGGAGTGCTCTGAGGAATTGTTCGGATTAATCCCAGCCGCCAAATTTCACGAACGCACATCGCGGGAGAACTCCCAATACCATCCACACCATCTGGATGATTGGCGGTCCACCACTGTGCGATTAAGAAGATGTTTTCTTCCTCGCACGACCTCCTTGTGGAATCGATTACCATCAGCGATTTTTCCGGACCGATACGACTTAGGGACCTTCAAGAAAAGAGCGTATTCCTTTTTAAAAGGCCGGCAACGCATCTGCAATTCCCCTGGTGTTGCAGTTGTTCATGGGCGGCGATAGTCACTTACCATCAGGTGAGCCGCATGCTCGTTTGCCCCCTCTCCTATAAAAAAAAACTTAATTTAGGTAATATCTGGACATTGGTAACTGTAAATATTGTTTTCTAAATAAATAATTTCTTAAAAGTGCACAAAGAAGAAGATATTTTCGCAGCGACGTTAATTACTGGAATTAAAAACTGCATTTTTATATCAAAATACTCTCATTACTTTGATTTTGATAATTTTTAAAACCTCTGTAATTTTATTGTTGCATATTTTTATTAAGTAGGTGATACTGTATTTACTAATTATGTATTACATTAAAACGCTGTTTTTAAGAGTATGACTTCAATAAAATATTATTGATGTGGGAAAATTGGATACAAATACTTATATTTAGGTACACTATTATAGACACAGTTTCACGCCAAATGGAAGTCCGTAGTCTCTGCCTACCCCTCTGGGTGACAGGCATGAGTGTTTGTATTTTGTCATCATCATCATCATCATTACAGCCTTTCATAAGTCCACTGCTGAACGTAGGCCTCCCCCAAGGAATGCCACAAAGCACGGTCCGGAGCCACCTGCATCCATCGACTTCCTGTATGTCTTACCAGGTCGTCATTCCATCTCGTGGGGGGTCGCCCTACACTTCGCCTACCGGTACGAGACTGCCACTCAAGAACCTTTCTTCCCCATCCCAATCCCCTATGTCACGTGCTTTAAAATTATGAAATATTATTTCCAAAAAAACGGACATCGTCCACTGCTGCAATCTGTGAGATATATTTTGATAATTATTCCACTAAATTATAATATATATATTTATATATGTATAATTATGTGCCGTGTAGTGGTGGTTTAGAATATCCACTACCCCATATTTTCCCGTGGGTGTCGTAAAAGGCGACAAAGGGAAACAGGCAGGAGATGGGTAGCAGCATCTTCCTGATAACAGCAAAATACAATAAAAAAAAGCGGTTGCCAACCCGCTCGCCAAGCGTGGCAACTATGGCAAATACCCCCCAAATGGAAAAAGTTACAAAGAGACAGCCCCCAGTCCCCGGCGGCCCCGATATTCCTGGCTACGGTGGCGACCATGGTAATGGCGGGGCAGGGGGTGCTAAGAATCTCCGGTGGAGGTTCGATTGCCACCTACGACGACTCGACCTGGCAATATACAACGCACACACCCTGAGGACTGACGAGAAGATTATGGAGCTGGAAGAAGAGATAAACAAGTTACGCTGGCATATTATAGGATTATCCGAAGTACGAAGAGAGGGGGAGGACACGGTAATCCTCGAATCGGGCAACTTGCTCTATCACCGGGAGGGCGACCATCTGTCCCAAGGAGGTGTCGGATTTATCGTCCACAAGTCTCTCGTTAACAACGTTGTAAAGATTGAGAGCGTGTTGACGAGGGTTGCGTACCTTATACTCAGAATTACCAAACGGTATTCGCTGAAGGTCATACAGGTTTACGCACCAAACTCGGCACACCCCGATGCGAAGGTGGAGGAAATGTATGAGGATAACTTAAGAGCCATGAATTCCTCCAATAACCAATATACGGTGTTAATGGGAGACTTCAACGCAAAACTAGGCACAAGAGAGAACGGTGAGCTTAAAGTAGGGAAATTCGGAATAGCGCAACGGCACCCAAGGGGCCAGCAGCTGGCCGACTTCATGGAGAAATAGGAAGTCTTTATGTTGAACTCTTTCTTCAAGAAGCGGCCCCACCGGAAGTGGACCTGGTTGAGCCCCGAAGGTTTAACAAAAAATGAGATTGACTTTATTATGACGACCAGGCGACAACTGTTCAGTGATGTCTCAGTGATCGCGAGGAGAAAACCGGCAGCGATCACCGAATGGTTAGAGGCACACTGAACCTAAACATTAAGTTGGAGAGGTCTCGTCTAGTGAAGTCTACGCTCCGTCCCCCTCATGCTCTCATCCAAAGTCCCGAAACATTTCAGCTTGAGTTACAAAACCGTTTTCAGTGCTTAGAACACTGCAATAAAGTGAACGATATGAATGACAAGCTCGTGGAAACTGTCCATGCGGTCGGAGCTAAGTTCTGCAAGACTCGACGCAGAAGAAGGCAAAAACTCTCCGATTACAATCATATCGCATGGCTGTTAGACGGGAGATGAAGCTACATTTTTCAACAGATTTGACAGCATACAGGCAACTGAATAGACAGATCTCCAAATGCATTCTGCGGGACTTACGCAACTTCAATACA